TCATTTACTTTTTCAATGAAAATATTCATAATATTAATAATTATTTTTTTAAAATTTATTTAGATCTTGCACCGTTTTTTTTTTCAAGTCAATGAATTGCTTCCACGGACAATAAAGAAGCTGTGATATGAAGGTTAGGAACTTCAATATTAAAAGCATTATGAAACCAATTCCAAACTTCATGGACATATTTTTAAATAGAAGATAATTTTAGAGCTATACTTCTTTACTTGTATGATATATTTTTATAGGGGCATGTACATACATACCATACAATTTTTATGTATTTACATACATACCTAACACCTAAAATTCATATTTATATACATACCATACAATTTTTAAGTATTTACATACATACCTAACACCTAAATGCATAGATTTATGACATCAAGATGTATAAATGTAAATTTTAAACTTTACATGCATTGAATCTAGATTTGTCTGTGAATCACACCCTAAGGAATACATCGTAAGTTATGAGTGAGAGAGACAGAGGGAGAGATAGAGAGAGAAGTGAATAGTTATTCTCCTTTATTCATAAAATAATATTTCTATTTATAAGGAAGACGGTACGATGCGGTAATGTTACATTTTTACCCATGTTTTAAAGAGGGTATAGGGTATTCTTGATATTTTACATATATGAGCATATCAATTGGTTATTATCTACCTCGGTTGACTGAGCTTGTTTGGCTTCGAGTCGACGAGACAGGTTAGGTCAACTAGGGTCGGTCGATTGGTTGAACTTGATTGGCTTCCAGTTGGCAATATTGTATCGATCGATTGATCGAGTCTAGTTGTTGACCCTTAATAGTGGATGGGGGAGCTTCTACACATCCTCGATATGATTTGACATGCTGAGAGGCTAGTTCTTCCCTCAGGTCAGCTTTTTTGTGATGATTGGCTCATATGCCTCTTTGTCCCGTTCTTGACCAAATGACTCAGACTCGGATATTCGGTTGTCTTTCTTTTCTCTTTCAGCTTTGACCTTATTGGCTTTGGCTTAGACAGTTGCACTCTGTCAGATAAGTTGGTCTCATGGTTTTCTGTCAGTAGACTCTCATTTGTCATACTCTTTTCTTATGGATCGTTAAATATTCTCAGGACCAGCACATACACATTTTTTATGTACATATTTTTATACATATGGTTTTCTTATTTCTTGAAAGAGACGTTGAAAAAAGAATAAGATAATTTAATATAAAAAGTAGATAGCATTTATTCTTAATAAATGATTCAATAAATGAACTCCCTTGATTTTTGTGTCTTTAATCCTTATTAATAAGGCGTGACATGACACTTTTCTTTCCATATTTGTCATGTATCCCTTCGTCTGAATCGGTTAGCTTTCAAGCGTTGTCATGGAGAACACCCCGAATCCTCTGGTTGGTGCCCCCAGCGAAGATTTGCTTTGTGTTGCCCTCGGAAGACCACAATACCACTTGAAAGGTGAAAAAAAAGGCTATTACTTTGAAGAGAAAAGCGACTGCATTGGTGGATTAGGTAAGGTCGTCCGACTCGTTCCTCTATCCATAACAGAGGAATGTTCAGGTGACTAGCCCAATCATTGATCTATCAGCTAAATCTTTTAGTGCAGCACAATACCTACTAACAAAACAGACCATGCAAGAGGCTATCGGTGCTTTGTCGCAGCCCAAGGTGCAAGAAGCTACTAGTGCTCTATTGTAGTTAGAGGTGTAAGAAATTGTCGGTGCTCTGCTATCTCTCGATGAGGGCGCTGTATAGATTACATCATCTGTGGGAGATTGATTCTTTGGTATGAATAGCCTCAATCTTACTTATAAGATTTTAATATTTTATGGGTCCCCTCTTCTTTACATTGACATTTGATGCAGCTAACCCGTTCTAGGAGATGACTGACCTATAATAGACGTTAAGGGAAACCATAACATGATGCTAGTGGCAGCTGAACAGGTTCTAGACAGGAGCAACCGCCCCTTGAGTAAGGATGGAGGGATTGACCGCTCAGGTAGTCTTCGCAGAGAAGTAGCTATTGGACGTTTAACATCCCTCAGGTCACAGACTCCCCACTATTACTCAATTATGCTACTTATTTGGCTCCTCATATTGTTTGAGGCATAAATCGCACTCACTGCACTATTTTATGTTGTTAAATCATATTTTATCCATGTAATCATTTCAATTGATAGAGCGAGTGATGGAAGAAGGGACTATTTAAAGAAAATAGAGAAAAGGGGTAAGTCATATTAAGTTTTCAAAGGGTGTACTTCAGTGCAAGAAAGATATCTCTTTTATTTTTTTGCTCCCCTATATAAATGTTTAATTTCTCTTATAGGCTATACATATATTATGATCACACTTAGATCTCTAGAGAATTCAAGCAATTTGAATTTTTCGTCTATTGCCTCGAGGGTTAAAACTATATCATCTTCAATCTTCTATTCTCTATGGATTTGACATTCAGGCGCCACCTCGTTTAGTCACATAAGAGACATAGTTGACCTTCTTCCCTAGACATCTCCTCCCTAAGTCATGAATTTGTGAGCGAGTGAATCGCTACCCAGGGCTAGCTAGTATTTTAACCCTGACGTTAAAGTTTTACACTCAGCCATTTGCATTCAGCCCAACTTATTCTTGGTTTCAGCCATTCGTACTCAATCAACAGTACGCCTGAGCTAGATCATCTCTACCGCTCCCACTTATTTAGGTTGGATCTATCCACAGAGGTATACCAGGAATGGAAGCCCGCTAAGTTGACTCCTATCTTGCTTGGCTTGTCACAATCTCTTTTGGTTTGAGATTAGCTTAAGCTGAGGCTTTTTTGGGTCCTCCTCAATCATTAGCAATTCTAATGTTGTACAAGTGTTTCTAAGTCAACTCATGCTAGCACTTTTGGATATAAATTAATAAACCATTCATATTTATTATCCTTCATGCATTGATGATTTTGAAATTGAACTATTTTGGAAAAGAAGCATAAGGTTACTTTGGCCGCTAGTTCTATTTTTGTTTGATAATGACTTATAATCTATTATGATCCTCACACCAACCTTCCCTTTTTCAATATACTTTTACACGTGTATTTCTTTTACTTTTTATATAATTTTATTTACTCCGCAGGTTGAGCGTTCAAACCCCTCACATAGATTATTCATTTTATTTTCAACCAATCTTTGTATTCGAGCACTATTTCTTATGTGTTAACGATAAATATATTTGCGTCTAAATTTGATTATGCCCTCAATTTCTCTAAAAAATATATATATATTTTTAAATTATTTAAACAAATTTAATATGCAATAGTTAACTCACATTTTTCTTAACCAACTTATCAGATATTGGGAAAAGTTGTAGTTGTTGTGAAGTTATGGTGGACATGTCTTTCCTACCTTCCTTCTTTTTTTATATAGGTGGCATTGAAATTGGTAAAATTACATTAGCTATATCTACAACATAAATGTAATGGGAACATAAAGGAGCAACTGAGCTCCACCCTTAAAAAAATGAAATATTAGCAGGACTGCAATCATGAAGGGAATCAAAGCTGCCCAAATATTCATCAGATTCTAACACCTAAACTTTAAATTTTACATTTATACCTCCCAGGACTTGCAAAATTGCAAGAAATTTACAGTAGTAAAATGAGTACAACTTCGACACAACTTAAGGACAAAGCCATAAACATTGTTAAATGCATGATATATTGAGCCATATACCAATCAGAATGCATCAATTTAGGACAGATATTTACATAGTTTAAAGTAATTTCAGTGATAGAAAAATATGTACACGCAACTACCATTTTCTCAATTTCTTCTTCAACCCTCATCTTGTTATCTACTACATCCATCTTTAAGTTCTAGCATTGACCTTCCAACTCGATACCCATATGCCTTAGGTTGTATGTATGATTTATCCAAATCACAAATATTGAGCTCTGGGCCATTTCGAGAGGGATGATGACGTATGTAATTATGTAACGTCATTGTAGAAACTACTATGTTTACATGCTTCCCAAAAGAATACATTGGCATATCACCAAAAATAATCAACTTCTTATTCCAAACAACTGAAGCCCTTTCAATCACACCACATAAATAAGAATTCTCTTATGAAATATTTCCAGTCTTCTACGCGCCAACTGACCACCTCTTCGAAAATAAAGAATATGATATTTTTTTGTCTGAAAATGATTTTCAAAATCATCGTAGCATTCAGTTTCCAACATCAACAAGATCATATTTACCTGCATAAGAGCAAACATGAATGAATTCAGTAAATTTTTAATTTGTACTAAAATTTTAATTGTAAATAATCATAATCATCCTCTATATGGTATAAGAAAGTTATATTTTCAATTACGAGTCAAAAACTTGAAAATACGATTGTTATGTGCACTACATTCCCACCTTGACATTATAAAAATAAAATGCATGTTAAAATCACACACTGTCATAACATTCTATGTCAACATTCCTTAACGACCTATATACACTGTTTCCTCACTATGTAACACTCAAGAATCTATGTGTTTTTCATCAATTGCTTCTATACAATTATAAATGAGAAATGTTGAACAATATCTTTGTTTTTTTTTCCTAGAGATTATCGAAGTAGCAGTAATGAAACATAGCAGAACTGGACCACCACAAACCCTCACCAGATGTTTCCAAACGCAGGAATGGCAGGCCAATTGTTCTTAACTAATGCAGAATTGAGAATACTACACCCCAAATGAATTAAAAATAAGTTTCCAGAGCAACGGACTGCATAAAATACAAAATTTATAGAGGGCATAATTCAAACCGGAGCCACGGGGCAATCTCAGCTACAGTGCAGCTAATCAATGGATCCCATCTCTGTATTAGAAAATTCGAGACACAAAGCCAAAATTTTGAAAATGGTGCGATGAAGTCGTGGTCAAAGACCGAGCAAAACGAACCCTAATTCCGTCTTCTTCCTCCCCTTTCTTCCCTTAATCCCATCTCCCTCTCTCTTTCTCAATTGATAAACCCGATCGCGAGATCATCGATTCAATTTCTCCGATCACCGATTAGAGTCCCTGATATTTTTTCCTAACGCGGCCGTCGGCGATGAATCTTGGTGGCCGGAAAAGGAGGCGGAAGTTCTGTCTCCCGTCCTGCTTCTCAGCTCCGTCCGTATGGGATCCCGACGAATTGGAGTTTGCGCAGGATGGGTTGCAGATAGCTTACTTGACGCGTCTTCGTGGCCGGAGCAGGACGGTTCCGGTGGTGGAGATTGCCGGAGATGAAGGAGAGGAATACCTGGAGGTGCGCTCGCCTGCCGGAAATCAGGGGAAGGGATTAGGGCAGATCTTTCGTAGGGTATGAGAAATTACTTTATTTATTATTTTATTTATTTATTTATTTTTGAAAATTTTACATGCATACCTCTCAATTCCTTCGTATTTACATATTTAATATCTAAATCTTAATTTTTACACATATATATCTTACTTATTCGTGAAAATATAGTTAAAAATTAAAATGGTAATATTCTTAAGCTAATATAAAAATTTTGGATGGTATAAGTGTAAGAAATAAAATTTTGATTTTGGTTATGTAAATACATAGGAATTGGATGGTATGTATGTAAATGCATCATTTTTATTTTCGGAAATTTACATACACTATACAATTCTTATCTAACACCCATAATTTGTTATTTACATTAAATTTATACATGAAAATATTTATTTCACTTTTAATGATATGATGTCAAAGATATGGAATATTTAGATGTTAGATATGTCAATACATAAGAATTATGTGGTATGTATATAAATGTCCCTTTTATTTTTATTCCTACTCATATTTTATTTTTAATATATTTTTTTAATCTATAGAGAATTAAAAATACGTTTATTTTACATAAATTAATAATATATATATTTTTTAATTTGAAGGCTAATTTATTATATAAATTAATTAATTAATTGAACAATTAGTTGTGTAAATATATAAAAATTTTATATTAATCATTTCATTTTTTTTCCAATAGGTATTGGAAGAGAATGATTTGATTAAATTGAGGCTTAGAATTGACTCGCATGATAGAAGATTTGTAATTTTTTTTATATAATTATAATAAATTTAATAATTTTTAATTTCTATTTAATTTTTAAAATTAATAATATATTTAATTATTCTTTATTCGTTTTAAAATAATTTGCTGATTCTAAAATTTTTTTGATAATTTTTTATCTGAATATAATTCGAAAGCTTTGCAATTATTGGTTCTAAAATTATTTTGATAAAATAATTTTTTATCTGAATATAATTCTAAAGATTTGCGATTATTGGGATTAGTCCCTTTCAAATTTTTAAAATATTATTTTATTTTCTTTGCTTATAGTTTTTTCCATGTTTCTCATTTTAAGTGAGTTTAGCCGGCTAGTGAGTCAGCCAGACTCAACTCAATAAGTGAATTGTGAACTAAACTTGATGAGCTAACAAGCTCAGCTCAAGCTAGCCCTCACTCCACTCATTAGCTCGTGAGCCGGTTCATTTTAAAAAAATAATTAATAAAAAATGTACTTAAATAAATTTAAAAAAAATTCTTATTAAAAATATTTAAAAATTAATATTTTACATTTTATATTGAATTGTTTCTTATCAATTATCTTCAAAATATTCATTTTATCTATCATTACATTATAAAATTAATTTAAATTAATATTTTCACTCTATTTTCATAATGAATAGACCAGTTCAAACTTGTAGAGTTAAGTTTTAATTTGAGCTCGAATTTAATTAATTAATCAAACTTTAACTCGAGTTGAGAGTGACTCGAATTATCGACTCAACTTGTTTACGCCCCCTAACTCTACTTTAATTTCCTATTAATAATACAATATAAATAAATTTTATATTTATTATCATAAATATTTAACAAATAATAAAAAAAATAATATTTGCCCTCCTATCACATAACGATTTTTATTCCTTTTCCGGTCAGAAGGTGAAAAATACCAAAGCTACAGCCCAAAACGCAACCCACTCGCCACGATCAACCCGGGCCCACATCCAGCAATCCATCTTCTGCCACGTGTCGACCAATGTCCAC